TTGAAATTTCCATTAGTTTGACACCTAATTCATTAAATTCCATCTTTCCTGAGAGTCGGAAATGAAATATACAGGGTGTTTCGTAATTGCACGGCACTATTTTAGGTATGTGTTCACTAACACAAAATAAACAAAAAAGTTCATATTGACATATATCTCAAACTCGTTTATTAAACAGATATCAAAGGTTAAAGATTTATTATTTCTATTTATTTATTATTATTACAACATTTAGAGTAACTGTTCCAAGGGGCATCCGTTTTGTTGAATGCTATTATCCCGTCTTTCAATAGCCTAAAACGTTTCACGATTTGGTATTCTTCGGTTAGGAAATTTTTCACGATATCTTCGCACAGCAGCAGCACCGTTTCTATGTACCTCGTCATAAGTTAAAAGCATGCCTGTTTGTTCTGCAAAAGTGAATAAATTAATGGTGTCTCCCATGGTAATCATAAATTGAACTGTGTCCCAGTATTCAATTTTTCCAATATTTTTTTTTCATTTTATTATTGATTTTTTCTTATTTTCGATTAACATTCATTAGGAAAGTTCAATTATAGTCCATTTCATTTGAAAATAACTATATTATATATTTGGCATATAGCTATAGTATCAGTACGACGTTGAAACAATTTGTACTCACCGAAGGAGGAAAATATTCAAATATTTTTTTTTAAGGAAAAAACAGAGTTCATCCCGAAAATTCAGGCAAAAAAGTTATAAAAGAAAACAAACTTTATTTGCGAATAACTAAAAAAATACACACTTTTCCCTTTTTATGCCCGTGATTATATAAAAAGATTACTTAATTCCCTACAAAAGGGAAAAAAAAATCATCGAAGTCGGACAATTTTTAGCTATGATAAAGCTTACTGAAATTTGTAAACATGTTGGTTCCAAACAAAAATGAAGATTTAAATTAATTTTTGTTTTCTTCGTCGATTACATTTACCGATAAAGTAACATTTGATTTCTTTATCTCTTGATAAGTTGCATTATTTTATTTTCTCATTACTCTGGCATTTGATAACAATATGCTGTGCGAATTTTTCGCACGGGCCTACTAGTATATAATAAATATAAATAATAGATAAACCTTTGATATCTGTTTAATAAATGAGTTTGAGATGTATGTTAATTTGAACTTTTTTGTTTATTTTGTGTTAGTGAACAGATACTTAAAATAGTACTGTGAAATTACGAAACACCTTGTATACTACCGTATAATGAAAGTCAACATTATATACGCAATATAACTGAAGCTATTCTGACTTTACTATGGTTGATTTTTTTTTTCTTCATAGAATTCCTTTAACTATTATTTGACGTTTCTAGGTCCTGCAGATACCCTGCAGTGCGCATACAACGGCACCGCCCAAATAATATTTCCATTAGGTAAATAAGAGATGCACCAGCTGATATTTCTTTGGAGGATGATGAATAAAAGTTGATTGAGAACCCTCGACATAAGAGAAGCTAAACTAACGACCTCTTTAGGCAAACTATAGGATCCATAATCAGGAAGGCGTTGCAGATAGGACGAGGGGGGCTGCAGGAGGTGATGGATGGAGAACAGATCCTAGGCCCGACTAATGGAGCAGAAATGGAAATCTCTACTGCACACAGCGGCCCCCCTTTGGGTAAGCAAGCTTATCCTTAATGACTCAGGAACCAGTCCGGTTCACTGCAGTTTCAACCGGTTATAACCAGTTCTTGGATATTCCAATTTCTGCACACCTTTGGCTTATTTGTTTGTTTCGAAGTCTAGTCGCAAAAAATTCAGGTAATCAGCGCCTGATGAACTAAATAACACTACTTTTATACTGTTTAGGTAGTTACCACAAAAAAAAACAACAAAAAAAACATAATAGATAATAAATAAATAAACTTAGAAAAAATAGCAATAAAATCAATAAATGAATAGAAATTAATAAATAAATTTACAACGGACATAATAAGAGACATGGCCACAGCTGACATACCTCAGAACATGAGGAGGAGACTAAAAAGGCGTTGGATGAGGGATCTCCTTCTTTAAAGAACCTAAGTAATTGGAACAAGTTAGGGAAGAGGTACTGCAGAGTACTTTCCTTCCCCATGCCTGTCATGTCATTATATCATGTATCGCCATAACATTTGCTGATTGTCAACAGTAAGTTGACAGGCGCAAATATATTTTTTATAGACAAAAAAACTAAATAAACGATCTTTTAAAATTAAAAAAAAAATACGCAAAGGATCATTAGTTATAAACTTGTCATATATGTTTTTTAAGTCTTTCATTGTCTAGGAACTTCATAACTTTGGTAATAATTTCTTCTTGATTTTCCCAGGGATGCTGATATATTCTGGGGTATTCCGAGATCTTTTTAGATATAAGATCTTTTTTATTTATTTATTTTATTTTTATTTTATCGGTTGATTATAACTGTTAACGCCGCATACTCTCATATCTTTGTTTTTTTAGTGTTATTTCTTTCTCACCACTCACGTGTGATCATCATTAACACTTTAAGTGTTAATGATGGAAGGTTTATTTTTTTTATTTTGGTAAAAACTGAGGGATAATTGTCCCAGAATGTTACGTTGTTTTATATTTAGGTTTGTTTTGCGATGTATTTATTTATAATTTTAGAAATTGATTTCTTTTTGCTTTATTAATAATTGTTAATTTGGGTTTATGTTCACTGAGTATTATATTTTGTGTTTTAATCATTTCAGTGAACTTCTTACCACTCTTTATTTGGTTTTAACTATTGTATATAATTTATATCTCTGTTTTAATTCAATAAATTGTAATTCTAGTTCTAAAGGAGATTTTTTATTTTCCATTTTTGATTTATTGAAATATTTTATTTTTTAATATTTTCTTGTGCATGCACATTTTTTATGCTTTACAGGTCTCATTTTTACTCTTTACTCCTTTTTTCCCTTCTTTCCCAACGTTTTTAATTTCACTCGAATTTTCCCCACCCTTGAGGAAACGAACCGGGGAAAGATTTCTACTTCGATTTTGAAGTATCCCTGGCCCCAACAATAACCTTTGGTTAATTAGTAAACAACCGAGTACGAAAATTAAGATAAACGTACACAAGATAAAGCTGGTAGGTTGAGAGATAAGTATATAATGACAGAATTACAATACTACTCAATCATTCCCATCCTTTAGCAAACTTTTCTTAATATAACAATCAATATAACACTAAATGCATATTGTTTGATAATAGATATACGAAACATCGTGGCATTTTGTATATATTATCAACTATTTTAAAACTATCTTACCATCTGAGGTTTGAAACCTTTGCCCCTTTTGTTTGTATAGCCGGCAGGCCTGGCGATCCGTTCGGTAGCGCGGTATTGTATCTACAGCTATTGAAGGGGCAAATCAGGCTAAATAGGCCACTCATAATTATCAGACTAATTCTAATCAGTCAAAATGATAGTATATACTACACCATATCCCATATATATATATATATATATATATATATATATATATATATATATATATATATATATATATAACATGATAAGATAAGCGTAGAAAGGAAGTTGCCGTGACCAGATTAAGAATAGGACACACGAAGCTAACCCATGTACATTTCATCAGTAAGCAGCCACCACCAAATTGTCAGCATTGCAATAGCCTTCTCACAGTCAACCATATTTTCCAAGAATGCACTTATTATACTTCAAGCCTAAATCGATTATCTCTAAAACCGGATATATCAGCGGTATTAAACAACAACGAATCAAACATAGGAAGTGTGATAAAATCTCTTAAAATCCATAGACTATTAAATAAAATATAAAAATAGATATAATTTGTATTTTATTGTTCTTTTTTGTATCTATTTTAATATATTTCATTTTTTATATGTTTTTAAATATCTCTTTCATATACCACTATATCTATCTATTATTAATTTTTGATTGTTCATTTTTTTTTTTCTGTTTCTCCTCTAAAGAGTTTACAAATATAACTGACTCACAGGCGTTGATGACATTGGTGTTTTACGCCTTAAAGCCTAAATAAACAAACAATGATAAGATAAGAAGTATCTCAAATTTTCAAAGTTCGAACTAACTTGCGGCAGTGACTCTTCCCGAAGTTATTCATATATATATATGTATGTATATACACACAAAATAATAAACTTATAAATTATAAAACGAGTATAAAACAACATAAACAATAACGATTACGATATTATATTGTAATTAAATGCTTAGACAACGGAATGTTAATCAAACATAACCATATAACGTTCCTATTCATGTCTTATAATCTTTAATGTATTATCCAGCCTTACAGGTTCTATATTTATTAAATAATATCACTTATATTTACTTACAGCATACAAACGTTGGCAATAGTCGAAATCGAAAATTAATTAAACAGTTGACAAACGATGAACAAACCCTTTATTTATTTCAACAATAAAATTTGTTTTTATTACAAAATGATTAATATTATTATTATTTTTTTATTTATTTTTTTTTTATTAGCTTTAATGTTTTATTTCACACCTGTCATAATGCTAATGACAACCAGTGAATGTGAGATCAATTGATAAATAGAATGTCATGAAAGGCATGAGGAGGATCAGTGCCCAGCGGCACCTCACTCGGCGTGATATCTACATTAGGCGAGGAGGTCCCTCATCCAGCTCCTCTTCAGTCTCCTACAGACGTTACCTGGTACATCTGTAGTGGCCATGTCATTTATAAGTGTATTAGGATGTCCTTGTAAGTTGTCGTGGAATCGTTTGTAATGAGTACGTATGTGATCGTTAACAGTCGGCATATGGAGGTCAGTATGTAAGATTATGTTGCTAACGTACCAAGGTGCTTTTGTAATTGTTCTGAATGTTTTTGCTTGAAAGATTTGAAGTTTGTTTAAATGAGTCTTTTTAGCAGTTCCAAATATCTGTGATGCGTAAGTGCAATTAATATTATTAATTACTATATTATACATTATATTTTCATTGACTTACATATTCTTCTGCAGGATGAGCCCTGAACTCTCGTGCAAATACGTCAAGGATTTTCTCACCGACCCACCGTCCTTTCGTGAAGGTAGTGAATGTGAAGTAGTAAGGGTACACTTTACGGAGGCCTGAAACCAACAAATCACATCATGTTAATACTTAACAAAATATAAGAAATTTATTATATAATATCGTACATAAGCAATAATAAAGTTTATGCAAAAGATTAGAATGATTTATAAATAAAGGGTTATTAATTTATTAAGTGAATTCATTAATTATTTTGTATAATCTTGAATCCTTATTGCTGAGGATATAGAATTCAATTTGATTTAAATCCCTTCAAATATTCCCTAACAGCTGCTAGTTCAGTCCGTGATGCAGTAATTCAATTGTAATACGTGGACTGACAAATGATTTATTCACAAGGCTAAACCCTAAACCTAACCGACGTATAAATCATTGTCTAGGACCAGTTTTGAACTAGTTCTAGACCAGTTCTCGAAGATGTGCAACTTGAACGAGAACATAACTTCCAAGACTCAAACCGATAATACCAACCCATCAGCTGAAACTAAAGATAATAAAGTTACAACCAGGAAAATGCTCAGTTTTTTTTTTCTTAGATTAACATTGAAAATGGATGTAAATCGAAATATAAATACCAATATTTTCTAATTATATAAATAAAAAATATCAATATATCGATCGGCCCTAGATATTTTTAATTTTGAAAAGAGTAGTAATGAAAAAAAAAAGTCGAATCTTTGAAGAAACGAAGATAGGATTAACATTGAATCGATGTCTTAGGTTTTAATTCTTTAATAATAATAAAATATTTATCAAAAAATATCAATAAACAAAACTAAAATAAGCAGAAATCGACCATCGGCTGATTATAAAACAGTCGTCAACAGGTGCACATTAATATTGAAATATAAAAAATAAAATAAAATAAAAGAAGAAATCGAAAAAAAATAAATAACTTAAACATAAAAAATACAACAAATAAAAAGGATAGAAGGAAATGAATAATTAAAAACCTATAAAATAATTATCGTTAAAAGTTTCACACTGGTAAGTGCATCAAAATGATATATATTTAAATATAATATAACCCTCCGAGGCGTCTGAAAAGAAGATGGCCACGTGATCTCCTAATATAGACATATTATTAGAGTGCTACCAATGGATAGTTTCCCAACATGTGTTTCATGTCATTATATCCATGTGCGAATTTACTAGATGTATTTTTTGTATACAGTTGTAAATATCATATAAATAAAAAAAAAAAGAAGAGTAACAAAAAAATTTTAAAAATCTATATTATCCAAGGTGCTTCAGGGACCAGGGGGAAAGATAAACGAAGGAGAATAGTTGACTCCTTCGTTTATCATTTCAATATTTTTTTAATTTGTATAATAAATATCAATAGTTTATTTTTTTAAAACCAAAAGAACACGTGAAAACTATACCTATGGCAACCATGGTAAATAGGAGGCTTTCGATAAGAATTACGATTTATTTTGAAAACGATACGTTTTAAAGTCATAAAATAAATGTTGATTAAATATAGATTGGTGTCCGTGTAGAAAATTAAAATTTGTCAGGACTCAAGCTGTCCATACACTTATACAATGACTTTTAATAAAGTTTTAGAACGAATTTAAGGATCCAAGTTGGAATTCGTCCTATCTCCAATAATTTTTAAAAACCTGAAGAACACGTGAAGGCTATACCTATGGCAACTATGGTAAATAGGAGGCTTTCGACAAGAATTACGATTTATTTTGATAACGATACGTTCTAAAGTCATAAAATAAATGTTGATTAAATTTAGATTTGGTGTCCGTTTAGAAAACTAATAAAATTTGTCCGATCTCACGCGGTCCATTTACTAACATACACCTATACAATGACTTTTAATAAAGTTTTAAAACGAATTTAAAGATCCACGTTGGAATTCGTTCCATCCCCATGAAATTTCCTTTCCTTCCAAAATCAATATTTCTTGAGCGGCGGAAAATAGTTAGTTGTATCCTTTTGTATAAAAAAGGAGGAACGACTAAAATTATAATTTTTGCCTGAAAGTCATGCGTGGAGTTCAGGAGGAAACTGTTGAGAACGGAGCATGGTCAGATTGAAAGGAACATGGAGTGAAGTATGGGGGGGAGAGGGAGGGAGGAGGAGGATAAAGGGGGGAAGGGAGGAGGGTAAAGGGGGGAGGGAGGGAGGAAAAAAGAGCAGATAGGGCAGTGATGACGTCAGTAGGGATGGAGTGCACTCTACCGCTTCAACTCGACACTTTTTTGGGATCCAATAAAGAGGCTCTTCTAGTAGTTCGATATCGTTGGCTTCCTCGTCGCTCCAGGCTGTTCCAGGCCACTGGACTATATATTATATAATATATTATATATTATATTCTCCAGCAAAAAATTGAAATAAAATAAAAATTAAGCCTCTATAGATCATTCAATGGAACCTCGAATAAAAAATCCGGTAGAGTGTATTTAAATGAAAAGAAAATGAAAATAGATTTTTATTATTCTGGGTCTTTTGTCCCTTTAGGACAAATTATAAATACAGAGGAAATGCCTCTGTGGCCATAATTTTTTTTTTTATTAACGAAATTTACAACTGTAATGAATAATAAATACAACAAGTAAATATGAACAAGTAATACATGAAGAGAAACCACCCATTGGTAGCACTCCAATTATATTTCTATATTAGAAGGACCGAGGCCATCTTCTTTTCAGACGCCTCGGAGAGTTATCAGGAATAGAAGAGTAAGCAAGGTTGGAAACGAGAGGGTTCGGATGGTTCAGAAGTTTATTATGAAAGGACAGGTATCTGGACTGAGCTAAATCGGAAACATATGGTACATTAAGGTCATAATGGATGATTTTATTTGTGACAAAGTAGGGAGCATTAAGGATTTTGGATTGCAGGGATTGGATACGAGAGGAATTTCATGGTTTAGTAGAGCCCCAAAGCTCGATTCCGTAAGTCCAAATAGGCCTTAATATAGTAATATATACTAGTAGGCCCGTGCGAAAAATTATAGGAAAAAAAAACAGCATATAGTTATCAAATGCCAAATTAATAAGAAAATAAAAAAATGCAACTCATCAAAAGATCAAGACATCAAATGCTACTTTATCGATAAATATAATCCACAAAGCAAACCAAAATTAATTTAAATCTTCATTTTTGTTTGGAACCAACATGTATACAAATTTCGATAAGCTGTATCTTTGCTAAAAATACATTTTTTTTTTTTCCTTTTATAGACAATTTAGTAATGTTTTATATAATCATGGGAATAACCAAGGGAAAAGTGTGTACTTTTTTAGTTATTCGCAAATAAAATTTATTTTCTTTCATAACTTGTTTGCCTGAATTTTCTGGGTGATTGGACTATTTTGTCAGCCTGAAGTTGAAGGAAGCCTTCGAAATTGGTGGCTCAATCTTGAGATTTGGTGAAAAATTAACGATGATATGGCTTGCTGATCAAAGACACCATCGATAAATAATATAAACTCCTCCCCTCTCGATCATAGAGACCTCAAGTCGACGAAATGAGACATAATATTCAATGACAGTAGTACAATTAACGTAAGGTTGTGTGGATGCGAACGCTATGCCTATGCCTTATTGAACCTAGAGAGATCGTTAAGAATTACCACACAGTCCTTAATAGGTTTAGATACAGTTGTTCATCGCAAATTTGTCAGTGTTTTAAGCCCAAATTATTTCAAAGCACTTACAAGATCTCACTGAATAATGAGAACCATCAAACTTAAAAATCGGTCGAGCTGTTCACGCAAAAAATCTTTAAAGACTTAGAGGCTCATTTTTAAGCTAGGTTTACAAACACACATACCATTTTGCATGACTTGGTCATCTAGATTTAGGGGGTATCTCAAAACCTGTATTTACGATACAAAACTCGGACTGAGATTTCAATAATTCACCTATACTGCATATTTCATAAAAAGTACGTATCTAGCAGCATATTTGTACCAGCTAATGTAGGCATTTGTTTTCTACAGTTATGCGGAAGATAGATTATTGGGAAGAATGATTAATAAATGATGTATAAAATGACATCAGATAGGAAGGTTCAATTAAGTTATAAGAAAGTAGAGGTATATATATATACCAAACGAAAGAAAATAAATAAATAAAAATGTCTAAAGATAATAGCAATAGGATGAGAGGAGGGCGGGAACAAAACTTATCGGGCTGGATAACAGGCTTATTAACTGAAGACTACGATCAAACTTTCTTAATAACGCCTATAGGCCCTGGGGAGGGGGAGGGGAGGGAGGCAACGCAACGAGGGGATACAACATAACTACTTAGTTCGTTTGTCGTAATCTTGTTTTTGTTTAAAAGCCTAAGAAAGTAAAGCTTACCTCCAAACACAAAATACAAATAACAATATATAAGATAAAGAATAAAATTATAACAAAGTCTATTGAATATTTAATAGTCGACCGTTGCATTATAAAGGAAGGATACCTGCAAAGTCGGGTCGAAACGTCAGTTTTCAATAAAATAGTTTTGCCACTATTTAGCCTATTTATGACCGCCACCCCGGATCATCTCCTTCGTTTATAGGAAAGTCTAGCTTTCTACTAGGTTCTGTAGCAATTTAATATTTAGTTACAAAATATCGTGCACTGTAATAATTTAAAAGTTCAAAAAGATCATTGAATCTTAGGAAATTATGTTCCAGACACGCTGACTTAATTAAACAGACTAAATAACGAACTATTAGAATCGATAACAATCTGTCTGAAAAATTTGAGGTTCGATCGGGTTTAAAACAGGGGGATTCCCTTTCGCCTGTACTGTTCAATTTGGCATTAGAACATGCCATTAGGGAGGTAATGCGTACCGAGAAAGGGTTGGATCTGGGTGGGACAACATCCGTGCTGGGCTATGCTGATGATCTGGTACTGTTAAGCGAAGACCTTGAAACTATAAAACTAAATACGACAACATTAATGAAAGCCGGTAAAGAACTAGGACTCGAAATAAACGTGGATAAAACAAAATATATGGTTAGCTGCAAAAATGGCGATACTACTGGTGATATCGATATAGATGGTAATATGTT